GCCCAGCCGAGACAAGTGATGTTTATTTACTGATGCTAGCACCCGGCACATTTCCATCCTCACTTCCAGCATCCCAGGACACACTCCCATAGCACCTGGGTTTCCTTTGTCTCAAGGGAGACTCTCCATGGGACACAGTCATTCACTCCCTTCACCTTCCTGTCCATTCACAGAGCTGCTTTCTATTGTGCTGTCATTTCAAGGCTAGTGTTTTCTCCAAAGCAGAACACACAGGTCGAAAGCAGAAATTACATAACATTCTAGTTTTACAGAAACATCTGCAGAAGAGCTTTTCCTGAATTTCCGTTGCATATGACATAATAGTAGCTGTAGCTAAAAGGAAAGAGAAAGCAGGATCCAGGTTGTGTGTGGGCTCCTGAAACCTGCCTGGGGAAGACAGCGCCTTGGTGGCCAAAGTGTGACAAGGCGGCAGACCAAGACTGGGAGAGCTGGTTTCAGATCTATGCAGAAACCTTTACCACTTCCTGGGATTTCTCTTCCTGCTGCAAAAGGCTACTTCTTGGCAAGAACATGTCTGTGATGTCATAAGTCTGTTTCCTTACCTTGGCCTGGTTACAAAGGAGAAGGGTCTCCAGCTTCAGGCAGATCACGGACCCTTGGGATTGCCTGCCGTAGGACAGAGAGATGTATTCTGCGTGCAGACCCATGTACCCTCCTAGGATCACCCCTTCCACACACTATGGGGATCCATGGAGGCAGGTAGAGCTGCCAATCTGGATTAGAACTCAAAAGTATTCAGATAAAGCTTATGTTTAATAGCACCCTAATTCTTAATGGCACAATCTTAGTCTCACAGATTCATTGCTAATATCAGTCTTCAATATTCTCATGGTCACTTTGACCAACGATGTTGACACCTCTTCCCTCAATAGTAAAAACTCTGTGTAGCAAGAGAGAAGTCCCATAACAGCTGAGGAATGTGAATGAATAATGCCATTGTTACCCGACAATGGCATTGTCAGGCATAAATGACAATGGCATAAATACCTGAGTTTATTTATTCAAATATATGAATTATGGCAAATTTGAGAGGTATTCCTATGGTCAGCGTCATATTTTCATTGAGCATTTCAGCAGGAAGTGTGTGTAAATTGCTGAGTTAGCAAGTTGGGCTGCAAATGCAGAGGGTTCTCTTGAAACTTCTCCTCCGGCTACACAGTCAACATTTGATTTACTGTTCTCAAATTTGAGTTTGATCAGGGCCTTGGATAAATTTCACAAATTTTGTCCCTGGCAGTCTTCTGCTCTCCTATAGAGGGAAGGATGGAGAAATATAACAGGTGGATAAAGTTTGGGTTTTCAACATATTAATCAGGGTTCTCCAGAGAAACAGAATCAACAGAATGATATATTAATGTATGAACACACACACACACACGGAGAGAGGGGGAGAGGAGAGAGAGAGAGAGATTGATTTTGAGGAATTGGCTCACATAATTGTGGAAGCTTGGCAAGTCCAAAATAGGAAGAGTTGCAGTGGAGTCCACGTGTGGTCAGCTGGCAGAATTCCCTCTTTTTCTGGGGAGGTCATTCTTTTTCTGCCGAGGCCCTCAACTGACTGGAAGAAACTCAATCCACATTAGGAGATAATTTGTTTTACTCAAAGTCTATTTATTTAAATATGAATCTCATCTAAAACATAAAATCACAGAAATACCTAGAATAATGTTTGACCAAGTATCTGAGTACCCTGGCTTAGCCAAGTTGGAACATAGAATTAACTCTCACACTGACCCTCCCTACTTGTGTCCTAGTATTTTTCAAATACTATTTCTCTTCCATCCTTAATGGCTATGTGTTTTATACATTGACATAATTTTCCTTATCTTTTTGGTTTCTGGGGGAAGAAGTCCTGAGATCAGGCTCCATTACATCACATTGCCAGGAAAGCCTCTGTAGCCATGATCTGTTTCATAGAAAGAAGTCATAAATTTGTATATATTTAGAAAACCCCACCATTTCTTTTGTGGTTTTGCTATGCTTATAAGTTTATCATGTTACCATCGGCTTCTTCCCCCTTTAAAGAAACCTAATCTTGCTGTCAATTCTCCATTCCATGGAATGGTGTCCCGTCCAGGGTTGGTTGCTGTTTTGCATCCTGCCCTGCCGGGATAGGACTAGTTCCAGTCCATGTTCTGATTCCACTGGAGGAGAATGCACTAGGTACAGGGTTCACATTTGCTCAAAACTGAACTGAGATAAGTGGGTTGGAAAATGAATGAATATCAATTATTATAAAATAAGAATTTGTGAAGTTTATGATAATCATACAAATGCATGATAATGAAGGATGCAGTAGGAACGCAATCAGTGAGTACCCCATATGTGTTACTGTTTGCTTTGATGTGCTGCTGGTAGAAGGTGCTTCTTACAATTTTTGCTTTGCAAACACTTATTTCTTGATGATTTAAACCAGCATCACTTTGACTGCTATCACTCAATGATTCATCAAAAAATAATTACCTTACTTGTTTTTATTAATCTTTCTTATATGTATGTATAGCTCACATTTATTTCAGTGTCTAACATTAGAAATGTGTTGAATATTTACTTAGAACTTTGGTGATGTTTTTGTCACCAGGAATATGCTGTAGGAACTTCATTCTTCTTTATATCAATTAGCCTATGGTAACATTGGTTTTGTTACACATCCCTTTGCTTAATGTTTCCTTGGTTCATAAATCCCATGTCCAGTTCTATTCTTCACTTGTTCTCACAGAGCCTTCCAGACAAGCCATTATCTCAACTCTACCTAGGGTTTTGACCTTGGATCTTTGGTCTGTCCCTCGATATTTATATTTCTCTCCAAACAGTTATATAAACTAATATAATCCAAATAGTGTTTTGAGAGGACTGAGTTAATATTTTCAAATATCTTAGAACAGTGGGTGGTCCATTTTTAGCATGTAATAAATTTTGGTGTTATTATTTTCTTCATCATTATTATTTAGATTCAGAGCAGAATCTTTTGGGATCATCTGTACTTCTCCTTCTTTTAATTCTAGGTTTTTCCAGGCAATCTTTTCATTACTTGGATGAATTTACCAACTTGATACTGTGCTCAGGCACTGCCAGAGACAGTATTTAAGCAACTGGGGACTGGTTGCCAGTCTCTTGAGGGTTGGTTAGTGTGATGTATCCCTTCTCTCTCAGAGCTGATCACATGTGAATTAAATGGAAGAAAGTCAGGTGCCTGTTCTTACAAAGCTGAGGGTAGTACATTGATCCAGGAATTGCCCTCTTTTGAGCCTCTGGCAGAAGCAGCCACTTCCCTGACTTTCCTGCACCTGGACACTGGCCTTTATTCTTCCCTCTGCCAGAGTCCCTACTCCCTGACTTTGCTGGACTGAACTTTGCTAACTTACGCTTTGTAATTTGTCAGCTGAAAATCACTTCCCTTCTTTCACTTCTATGACAATATGAATCACTTTTGTTTTTTGCTGCTCACAAACAACTGTCAAGTTTTGCTTTCTAGGAAAGTTGAAATGAGAATCAAAAAATCTGAAATCTTGAAAATTAGGGAGAAAAATGATGTGGCCCATTTGCCTTACTTTTATTTCTCTTTATTTGTTTTATTTCATCATGAATTAGAATGCAATGCAAAACCAGCAAGACAAACCTTGCCCAGTAAACCACTGTGCAAAAATATTCTAAAAATTCTTTTGTTGTTGATTTTTAAATCTAAAATAAAAAAAAATCACAAATGAGTAAATGACATGACAGCATGGTGCCTACTGACTTGCACTGTCAGAGACAGAGGAACAAAAAGCTTCCACAGAATCACAGTGAAGTGATGAACAACTTAGGGACACTAGTTTCTGTAATATGAGCTTCTAATAAGTGACAACATGTGTTTTGAATCTCTTGTGCCCAGCTCAGAAACTTCGAGCATAACAAGTGTTCGACAGTTTAAGTAAAAGAGTTGAAGAATGGAAATTGTGCCTGGCGAAGTAAAATTTATTTGACCATTGAAGATAAAATGATTACATTTGGATAACTCCTCCCCCTACTTAGACAAAACAAACTTTATCTATCAGTATTCAAGGGCCGTTGACACTTTCAGCACGCAGAGACATGTTTCAGAAGAAAAGAAAGTCACTGCTGAGATCTAGGGCGCTTTACACAAATACTCTATGGGCAGCAGCAAAGATTTTGGAGGATTTATTATTTCTGCAACAAAGAAACAAGCCCTTCCTCAGCACAGGAGTTCTCAAGTCATCAGGATGTAGTGAACTTGACCTCAAGAAATGGGTGTGGGAGAGTTTGCGTGGAAGACACTTTATCACAATATAGGGGAGGGTGTTTCTGGATGTGATAACTACCTTGTGAGTGAGGTGGTGCTAAGGAAATAACATCATCATGGAATTAGACCCTCCACACCCACATGCTCCTAAAAAGAACCCAGGATTCCTACTAGGGGTATTAGCACAACCTGAGGAGCAGTATAGACCTCCAGTAAAAAAAAAAAAAAGGTAAAAAAAGGGGGGGGGCAATGTCTACATTATTCTAACGTTGTGACCCCAGTGAAGCATAACCACATAAACCTTAATGAATATATTCTAGAAGGAAGAGAAACATCGGAAAAGTTCAACCTTTAACAACCATCAACCTCTGTGGCAAAAAAACCAGCAAATAAACTCAGCCCCCAAAAGTTTAATTGACAATGATGATGTGGTAAACACAAAAACCTATAGGGCAGTAGGAGCTTGACTTCCTATGTACAGTATGGAGGATAAAAATGGACTCTAGGATCAGGGCTAAAAATTTGTTCCTAGAACAGAGAAGAGCAATATTTATGTATGAAAAAAAGTATGTGTGAGAATATGTATGTGTATGATTATTTAAATACATATATACACTTCTAACTTTAGCACAAAGATCTTTCTCATTTGATTGCTAAGTATCCATTTGGATTGACACATTTAAAGTTTACTGGGAAAATTAAACTTCTAATGCAAAATTAATAGTTTAGCCTGATGTTATCTTCTTAGGCCAGATGGAGAATACATAAATGAAAATAAAATGTGGAAGTAAAAGTGTAGACACATGTTCAGAAAATGAAAATTGTTTTGTTCCCTATTTAAAAGCCATGCACAGAAAGGATGGCTTCAGAGAACCCCAGAGTCTAAGGCTCACCCAGACCCCAGCTCAGCCAGGTCAGCAGCAGCCTCACTTCCCAATGGCCCTCCTGCTCCCCCTACTGACGGCCCTGGTGATGTGCAGCTGTGGCCCTCTTGGGTCTCTGGGCTGTGACCTGCCTAAGAACCATGGCTTGCTTAGCAGGAAGACCTTGGTGGTATTGAAACAAATGAGAACATCCACTTCCTTGTGTCTGGAGGACAGAAACGACTTCGGATTCCCCCGGGAGATGGTGAATGGCAGCCAGTTGCAGAAGGCCCAGGCCGTGTCTGTCCTCCACGAGATGCTGCAGCAGATCTTCAACCTCTTCCACACACAGCGCTCCTCTGCTGCCTGGAACACCACCCTCCTGGTCAAGCTGCGCACTGGACTCCACCAGCAGCTGGAACACCTGGAGACCTGCTTGGAGCAGGCGATGGCGGACGAAGACTCTGCCAGTGTGATTGATAACGCTACACTGGCGTTGTGGAGGTACTTCTGGAGAATTCGTCTCTACCTGCGAGAGAAGAACTACAGTGACTGCGCCTGGGAAATTGTCAGAGTGGAAGTCATGAGCTCCTTCTCTTTGTCAACAAACTTGCAGGAAAAGTTAAGAAGCAAGGATGGAGACCTGGGGTCATCTTGAAATGATTCTCATTGACTAAGCTGCCCTATCACACTTGCACATGTGTCTTTGGATATTTCAAAAGGCTTTCATTTCTGCTTTAGTTAGAAATTATTGAATTAGATTTAGCAAATACTTCATTGATAGTATTAAGCAAGTATATGTTAAAGACATTTGGGTCTAGGGACATCAGTTCCTCAGAGATGACTGCCCTGATACTATTTATTTATTTATTTATTTACTTATTTATATCCATTCTTCTTGCATGTATTGTATGTATAATATTTAGATATTCTAATATAACATGTTCAGCTCTACATTGTAGTAAAATTTATTAAATATCTACATTTTAATGTTTTTAAATTTGCATTTTTATTATTTATTAAATTCTTATCAAAGAAAACTCCTTACATTTGTTTATTCTGAAAACCAAGTTTACATTCTCTTTTTTGTGAACCAAATTGAAGAAAGTATGGTTAAAGACATTAACTCATTCATTCCATTCATATCATATTTGTAAGTTGAGTAAGTGGCAGATTTTGGAATTTCCTTAAAGAAATATATGTGAATAAAGCACACAAAATTCCTGCTGTATTGGAACTCTCAGACCTTACAGGGAAAGAGACATAAAAACAGTATTAATGCTTATGTTATTTCAATTATATTAAATGCTACAAAGAGAAGTAAAGGAAAATAATGTTTACTGACCTGAAGCTTTAGGTGCAAATGATGCTGGGAAGGGAAAAGAAAGTATTAGATGTCCTTCGTCAGGTGCCTGGGAGACATGAAAGTGCAGAAGTCTTATTGGCAGTTGAAAATATGGGTCCAGAATGATCAGGCAATGCTATGAGTAAAAGTATTAACTTGGGATACTTTATTGTATGTCTGGTAGTGAGGACATGGGAATGGATGTGGTCACATATAAACAGAGGGGGCAATGGGGACACCAAGATAAAGACCTAAACTTCATCCTGCAGACCCTCAACAGTGAAAGAAGAGCAAAGAGTGGCCAGTGCAGTTAGGACAAATAGAGACCAATGAGTAGAAGACAATGATGTTTTCAGGGAAAATGAGGGCTGAATTGTCCTAGGGGACCTGACAATAGATGCCATCGATGATCTTAGGAGGATCTGGTTTAGTAGAATTAATGGAACAGAAACCAGATGAGAGTAGGTTGAAGAGGAAACACAGAAGGGGAATTAGGTACACTGTATATAGAAAAGCATCCGGGGAAGCTTGTTTGTGAAGTGGGGTTGAGAAATAAGATGATACCTGAAGGAAAATGTTATTAACATCTCTATGCATTTTTTCGTGTTTTCTGAGATCATTTTCAAAGAATGGATGAATTGGAATAAATTCTTCTGAACATTTTTTATTGGCGTATGATTGACATAAAAATTATATATTATTTAAAGTGTAAAACATGGTGTTTTGGTATTTAATATGTACCCTAGTATATACCTTCTGTAATGATTCCCACAATCAAGCTAATTAGCACATCCATCACCTGACATAGTTGCCATTTTTATGTGTGTGTGATGAGAATACTTAAGATCAATCCCCTTAGCAAATTTCACGTATACAGTGCATTATTATTAACTATATTTACCATGCTATACTGAACATTTTATGTATTTGATTTATTTGATATAAACTATTACCTATTTAAATATTTGATTTGAAGCTTTGCTTATTTATTTGAAAATTATTTATTTATTAAAATTATATTATCATTATTCTAATTAACATTACTTACAGTAAATTTCAATGATAACCCATTTCCTTGCTAATTGTAGTTCTTTCATCAATCAAGTTTATAATTGTTTCATTTCATTTTATCTGTTACTTCGCTTACTCTATTTTTTATGTTAGTCACTTACATTATGTATAATTTTGTAACTTCTAATCGTGGTCTTAAACATTTTTTATAAATTATAGCCATATTCTTTTGATGGACACTTGTGGGATTTTAAAAATTTTATTTTATTTTTAAGTTTTGTTTTGTATTTAATTGACATAATAGTTGTACATATTATGGAGTGCAGTGTGATGTTTTGATACATGTATACATTGTGTGATGATCAAATCAGGATAATTAGGACATCTGTCACCTCAAACATTTATCATTTCTTTGTGGTAAGAACATTCAAAATTCTGTTTTCTAGCTATTTTGAAATATAAAATACATCATTGTTAACTATAGTCACCCCACTCTTCAGTAGAACACCAGAACTTATTCCTCCTATCTAACTGTAACTTTGTACCTGTTGTCCAACCTCCCCCCATCAGCCTCTCCCCCCACACTCTGGTAACCACTAATCTACCCTCCACTTTTATGAGATCAACTTTTTTAGATTCCACATATGAGCGAGATCATGTAAAATTTGTCCTTCTATGCTTGGCTTATTTCACTTAACATAATATTCTCTAGGTTCATCCATATTGTTGCAAATAACAGGTCATTCTTTTTCATGGCTGAATAGTATTTCATTGCATGTATATATCACACTTTTAAAAATCCATTCATCTATTGGTGGATACTTGGGTTGATTCCACATCTTGGCTATTGTGAATGGTCCTGCAATAAATATGGGAGTGTAGCTATCTCTTTGATATACTGAATTCATTTCCTCTGGATATAAATAATGAGCACTTGTGTTTTTACAAGTGTTCCTGTGTACAAGAGATGGACAGTTTCTTGTATATTTTTTCCAGGCACCCTCTAGGATATACAACTATCCCTTTCCCTAATCACATTTCTCTTTTGGTTTTATACATATTCACTTCCTTTTCTTGTAAATCTGTTTTTAATCTTTAATTTCTGTATTCCATTGGGAATACTTTTTTTTTTATTTCAGTATATTCTGGGGGTGCAAATGTTTAGATTATGTTTATTGCTCTTGCCCCAACAAATTCTCAGGTTACAAAATCAATGTACAGAAATCAATAGCATTCCTATATGTCAACAACAGTCAAACTGAGAACCAAATCAAAGACTCAATACCCTTCACAATGGCAACAAGGAAAATAAAGTACCTAGGAATATATTTAACTAAGGAGGTAAAAAACCTCTACAGGGAGAACCCTGAAATGCTGCGGAAGAAAATAGCAGAGGATGTAAACAGGAGGAAAACCATACCATGCTCATGGGTAGAGAGAATCAACACTGTTAAAATGTCTATACTACCCAAAGTTATCTACAGATTCAATGAAATCCCTATTAAAATACCAAAATCATTTTTTCACAGATATAGAAAAAATAATTTTATGCTTTATTTGGAACCAGAGAAGACCCCGTATAGCATTGGGAATACTTTTTGTCTGTGATATGAAAATGTAAATTGATATATGTCAATGCCAGGAACTTTCCCTGGAACCCTTCAATGAAATTTTATTTCCTTCCTTATTATAACATAATACATTATTATTATTATAACATAATATTTACCATAAATATATTCATTCTGATATTACAACTATTTTGTAGATAATTTGCTTTATTAATTTAATTATTAAATTGTATTCATTGGTATATGTATTTTACGTCTGATACTTTAAAACTCATTTAATTCTTCTTGTTGAGGTAGCTAAAGTCAAGAATTCCTTTTTATATTTTAATATTATTGCTTGCATTATTTCCTAACAAACTTTAGAATTATTTTAAAGTAGAGACCACTGGCTTCATAAAATGATAAACATTTGTGGATCCCCAAATGGCAAGTTATACTGCACAACAAAAAGTGAGAAATAAGATAAAAATGAGTGGAAAAAAAAAAAGGCTGGATCAGAGACTTGAGTGTAGGCTGGTATTAGTGACACACTTCAACCATGTAGTATATAGAAAAGGAAAACTAGTGTTAATAACTTTCTACTGGGGAAACCTGGCCAACACCATCTTAACCAACTGATTAACATCAGTAGAAATAGGACATATTGATGTCATGTACCCTGCATATGGGTGTGATGTAATTGATGAGCAGATCAACTCTGTGGTTTTCTTCCCTTAAATCCATAACCTCGGTGTAATCATGAAAAAACATCAATCAAATCCAGATTGATAGACATTCAACAAAATAACTCACCAATATTCTTCAAAAGTCTATAGGCCATGAAAGACAAGGAAAGAGTGAGAATGTGTTACAGATTGGAGGAGACTAATGAGATAAGAAAATGAAATGCATCTTGCAAACTGAAACTTTATACACATTAAACAACGACTTTGCATTCATCCCTTCCCTCCCACACCCCAGCCACTAGCAATTCAAGTTTCTATGAATATGTCTACTCTGGATACCTCACATAAGTGGAATCATACAGTAGAGTTAGCCCCTCATATACATGGGTTCTGCATCCTCAGATCTAACCATATTTGAAAAAGAACAATAAAAAACAATACAACAATAAAAAACACTAAAAATAATACTGTAAAATAGCTACATAGCATTTATGTTGTATTATATTTGGTATTATAAGTAATCTAGAGATGATTTAAAGTATACGAGAAGAAGTGCATAGGATATATGCAGATATTATACCATTTTATATAATGAACTTGAGCATCTGGGAATTTTGGTATCTACAGAGGTCTTGGAACCAATTCCTCTCATCTAACCAAGGGACAACTATAATTCTTTTTTGCAACTGGCTTATTTTATTTTAGCAGAATGTCCTCAAGTTTCATCTATGTTGTAGCATGTGTCAGAATGAGGCAGAATAATATTCCCTTGTATGTACATACATCATTTTGCTGAATAATACAATAAGGCAGAAAATTACATCATATAAATCTGAACAAAAATCCATTGTACCTATAATAGACTACATGTAAGGCTGAATAATAGTCCATTATATGTATAGACCACATTTTATATATTCATCTATCTATCAACGGACACTTGGGCTGCCTCCACCTTATGGCTGCTGTGAATAATGCTGTTATGAACACAGATGTACAAATATATTGTCAAGACTCTGCTTTCAATTCTTTTGGATGCGTTCCCAGAAGTGGAATTGCTGGAGTA